GGAGTTACAATTTGATAATTTCAAATCATGATAATAAATATGTTTATAGAACTATTTTGACCACAAATGTTAGAAGACAATATTTTTTTTAGATAATAACTAAATTCTAAAGTAGTTTTCTATGATACCATTTCATTAAACGGCATAATGTTATTTATTAAACATTGAACTAGGGTGATAATGAATATTCAATACCATTATAACTAGTAGTAGGGATTCAGTCAGAATAATAAACCAAAATATTTAATAAAGGCTTAAAATGTATTTATTATTTATACTTAAAAATATTATGTATGTAGAATTAAAACAAGTACACATAAGTTTATAAAAAAATTAATAGTTTTAAATCAATATTTATGAATTACTGAACAAGTGAAGTTTCAAAATCCATACAATCATTAGCAGGTCTTAAGCAATGTTCAAATCCCATTTTCATAACATACTGCCACATAGTGTTTGAATGAAAATTTTCTAATTCATCAGCAAACAACAACCAATCTAAGGATGGTAAGAGATCTAATAGGCCTTTGTTATACATCAGTTTTAATGTCTTAAATATTAAAAGATTGTCTATTAACTCTATWGGGTTACTAATCTCTTGGTCATGAAGTGGATATTTTAATGTCTCTCTTAATATTGTTTCACACCACAAATAGCGACTGAGTTCTTCACATTTGTCTTTACTCTGAATAAATTGTAACACAGACAAAGCACGCAAACATTGATTTTCATCCAAGGTGATATTATTTTTGTGCAAGTATAAATTGAAAATTTCTTCAGGAGTTAATACACGCATACTATTCAAATCCAAATTCAATAACTCCAAGACACATTCAGGGATATTTATCTGATGTTCAATAATTTCCAAATGTCTATCTATCTGATCCAACTCTGGGATCTTAGTTAATGGCCCATTTTTTGCCAAAACCGCCATTCTGTATAAATTCAATTGGTATTGTTTACGAATCACATTTGTCTCTTCCTTAGACCAGCATTGTTTTAGGGATTCACATGTTAGGTTAATATTTTCAGAAAGACTTCCAGCTATCCAACCATAATTTGGATATGTTTCTAATGCTAATGCTATGTCATGTTCATACTTAGGTTTGCGACAAAAATTACGTAACAATTCTACAATTTTACCTTGTTCCAAGTACCAAGAAAAAACAGTTTGACGAAAATTTTGTTCAAAAAGTTTGTCCATAAAACTATACAATAAATCAATATTGTTTGTTTCAAAACAAACCTCCACTATAACTCTATGGTCTCCATATTTCTCAGCCAATTCAATTACTTTGTGGTATTCTTTATAATCCATAAGTTTCTTAAGTAGCTTATACCTGAGTTGTGTATAATTGCTGTCTATTTCTGTAAATACATCAATAGAGCTGGATAGTAAGGCATCCACCAAAAATGCAACTTGATCAGAAATTTCTGAACGAACTTCCTTAGTAATATTTGCCTTTTTAGCGAATTCAAGACTAATATTTATTTGTTTTATCAGCTCAGAACATATACCTTCATTTTTTTCACATAGAATCCAAGATATTTTTGATTGTTTTTGTTTGTCAATCGGGAAAAATTCAACGTTTTGTCTTCTGTATTCTAATACAGCACCAAGTACTTTCACTAATATTTTATTGACATTACATACAATTAAACAAATATCTATAGCA